ACTCGATTAGACGGTGAATAGTAAGCGACGGACGAGTGGGTTGTTGCTGGTGTGAGTGTGACATGGAGGAGATCGTGTGTGTGTGTTGGTGGGTGGGTGGGTGGAAGGAGGAGGTGAGAGATTATAGGGAATTTTGGGGCTAGCCATGTGAAGAGGATAGCAAAGAATAGAAGAATGTGGAGATGTGATGTTTAAACCCGTTGTATACCTGAAACAAATCATTCTTATGGACTAAAATAACCACATAATTGGCATTATTTTGATTCAAACAAAATTGTATATTAGTGTAGTGCTCCTGATGGGGAACTAATTGAAAAGGAGTAAATTTCTTCGCCTGATATATTATTCAAGAGTGCTTTGAACCATCGGAGAAAAATACAAAAAATTTTCAAGTATTGGTTTTGTAGAGAATTTCGTTTGATTGGTTGGAGGATTTCATCATGAACTTATCCCGGTTTGAGAACTATCGGAAAATCAGACACACGAAGTACTGCCACACAGCTACTTCCCCTCTTCTAGTTTGTGACTCGCTCTTCAACAATACGCACCCACCACAGTGTAGTTCAAACTCAGCACCTTCTAGTCACAAGGGCGCTAGCTCGTAGACAGTTAAGCCACTGTGACCTGATCCAATGGCCATCGCTTTAATTCCAACTTGTGCCAATTCAGGATATAGCACGACTACTTCGCAATATCTTCTTCGATGAATTACTGTCTCACCTTCAACCTGCTGACTAGGGACTGGACCTATTCAGGTAAACAGTTACCTGGGGCTCTAGTGGGAAGACGTGAGCGGTAGAGTACAGCAGGTTTAAGGTGAGGACAGTTACTCATCGAAGAAGACATTGCTAAAATATCGTGCTATGTCGTGCCTGAATTGGCAGAAGTTGGCATTCATGGGTTGGACATTGGATTGGGTCCCAGTGGCTTAATGGTCTACGAGCTGGCGCGCCTTGGAACCAGAAGGTCCTGTGTTCGAACCCCAGTGTGGTGGTGCGTATGTATTGTATGTCCTGTTTCTATAAATATATTTCGTAACTGAAGACGTGGGTCTTGTGTTTTCACCATTAATGAGTTTAGGGGATTGCATACACCTCTGAAGCCATTTAGGAATATGCTCTGAAGGCAGTGCTGAATTGCAAAGACAGATGAGTCCTCCCTATGTCTATATGAGCACAAAAACATTGAATTTGGCAGATACAGTAGGATGTGATCATCTTTGGTTTGCCTCTTCAATTTTAAAGCGAGTGAATGAAGTTAAGAATAGCGTTTCACTTATCCCTTATTGATCAGAACAAACAACGATCTGTTTATAGGAAACCTACCTGGACAGGACAGGACAGGACATGACAGGAGAGTATCTTAGTCATCACAGCTTCTCTTCTGTTCGCTACAAAACGGCCTTAGTGAGCGAGGTGCCTCTTTAGTAAGATTCAGTAAATATGCCCAGGAGATACACTTGAAAATAATGAAAGTCAACTAACAGAAACTTTGGTTGATAAGTAATTATCCAGAGGAGTTCATAAGTGGTTGGAACATTATAACTGACTCTTCAACTCCCCACTGAAAATACGTATATATCAAGCTACCCTACAATTGCGTGATCATCAAAGCAAACCATTGGTAATCAAACAAAGATTGTGACGCGGGTGTGGTTAAAAAGACTTTTTATGCAGCTTACATCTGAATTTATTAAAAAGACTAAGCCTGTATATCCATCTAAGCTCTTAGAACATAAGGGAAAATGATGTCACATCCCACAATATCTTTGTCATGTTTTGAAGCACTATTGATGCTTTTCTACTTCTGATCATGTAATGTATGTGTGTCTAGTCCTATCTTTGGTTCAGGTTGAATTCTAACAGTGAGGTTTGTTAGACTGGACACATTACATGAGTTAATGACTAGTGTCCAATGAAAAAAGAAAAAATATCCAGTACAATCAGTCCTGCAGGAGGTCAATCACGAGCCAAATAGCTCATTGGTATGTATCCACCGCATAATTGGCTTTTATTATTGTAACGACAAAAAATACTGTATATTTTATAATTGTACGAACCTGAAGAGGAGAAATTATTGAAAGGAATATTCTTCGTTGAGATTGCTTTTTAATATGTATATATATATATATGACATAGATTGCTGTACAAAATATTCAGGAATCATTCATCTTCGAGTTAGAGAACCATTGAAAACCAGACAGGAGTATTGGACAGCTATTTCGTCCACCTGGTTTGAGGCTGGCTTCTCAGCATGACGTACCCCCTAGAAGGGGTTCGGACCCACGACCTTCCGATTACAACTTTAGCTCGTTTACCATTCAGCCACTTTGACCCGATTCAATAGCCAGTGCATGAATTTTAACTTCTACGAATTCGTGGTTTTTAGCGGGATCAGGAACCACTGTCATCAGCAAGAACTCCATCTTCAATCCCGACTGGATGAATCTCACTGGTCATTTCTTGATAAATAACCTGACTTCCGCTAGTGACTTGCTACATGACGGAATTTCCTGGAGTTCTAGTGAGAAGTCCAATAAGTCGAGAATGAGGCGAAATGCTCTTCATTGATATTGCTTGGTGGTCGTTCTAAGATCATGGACCGTTAGAAGTTATAATTCATTGTTTCACCATTGGATCGGGTTCCAATGAGTAGCTGAATGTTGTACGAGCACGTCTTATAACCAGAAGGTCATGGGTTCGAACCCCACTGTGGTGGGTGCTTACTGTCTATGAGTCCCGAACTAAGCTCACAAAACAACCGTCCAGTACTCCCTGTCGCTGGTTTTCAATTGTTCTCCAACTGATATCAATCAATCCTTGATCTAACTCAAAAAAAACGCCTCAAATCCTTACAAATAAACTATCGTTGACAGTTATTCATCTGGAGAAGAAAAAACTGCCTTGCAAATAGCCTAAACTAATAATTTATAAATAGTGTCAGTGTTTTCAGATTATATTCCTATAATTTGATGGACTTTGAACATGTGGCTAGAGTTTACATATCGAGCGTAAACCGTAGGCTTCCTTTTTTACATCTCATATTGTTAGTTAGGAGTAGAGTTAAATTAATTGTTTTGGTGTAAGTGTGCAGAGACAAGGTGTTATGTAACAAATAAAAATCACTGAATAGTTTTGATTTTTTGATTTGCATCTTTTTCATTCGTTTCTTTTTGTAATAATCAACACAAACCAAAGCGTATGAATCACTTTTTGAGGCGGAACACAATTATAGTGAGCAGTTTTGCATAAAAATTGACACGAAACAGCTTCGTTTGTTTGTTGGCTTGTTTGTTTTTCCGGCAATGTGATGATTATTATATTATTATTGTTTCCTTTAGTTCTTAGAGGGACATAGGGCTTCAGCTGCACGTCTCCACTGCATTCAGGGTTCTCCGATAGAGTTTTCTCACCTGGCTCCACGCGTCTGCCCACATGCTTTCATCTCCTCTTCACATCATCTCCTCATCCTTCGCCTCCATGTCACCCTCGCACTGCCGACCAACTAACTCGCCGCTTCCCATATGGGTTCCATTCGAGAGCCTGGCGTGTGATGTCACTAGTCACTTGATGGTTTGTTTTCTCAGAGTATGGCCAATCCAACTCCATTTCTTCCTGCATGTTTCTTGCACAGTCGGTTCCTGGTTTCCTGCCAGACAAACATCCATGTTGCTGAACTTTTCTGGCCGGCCGTCTGATCCGGAGTACTGAGCGGAGACAGCTGTTGATGAAGGTGTGTAGTTCGTTCGAAGTGGCCTTCCTGACGTGGCGAGGCGCGGAGTGGCGCCAAGTCTCTTATCCGTACAGTAAGTAGCACTGACTACACATTGGAGTTGAAAATCCGGATCTCATTTTCATTTTTATGCTGAGTGCTGTTCATCTCCACACTAACTTGATGAGAGGAATGAAAGCTTGCTTTGCTTTCTCTATCCTCTTGCTTTGATAACCTCATCAGTTCCATCCGCCTGGAGTGGAAACGATGCTTCCCAGGTAGGTAGGTAGGTAGGTAAGTAGGTAAAGGAGATTGCTTCTTTCCGATTCCTCCCATTTATGCTGGCTGATTGTTTTCTGTTGTTGTTGTTGATACTGTTACTGTGGCTGTTGGCCAGGAATCTTCCTCACCACATCTATTTGCTCTATGTTCACCTGAAGTCCTATCTTCTCTGGATGCTTCTTCTATCACCAACTTGTTGCTTTTCACTTGCATATCTTCCAGTTTGTGTGAAATCAGACATATATCTACGTCGAAATGCCGATCCGGATCCTCCAAGTTTTTTGTATGGATCCATTTTATGCTTGTCTCCTCATTACCCACTGTGTGTCTATCACATTGTCCAGTCTACCACAATCAGGAAAATCTTTGCATATTGTATTCAGCCAGCCTTGTCTTACCCCTGTCTTCACTTCGAAGGATTCCTTGAGTTTCCGGTTACGGATTACTTTACATGCAGCATTATCGTGCAACTGTTGAATGGCTGATGTGTATACTTGTTGGCGGCACCTCATAGTACCTAAGTAGTTTCCAAATCACCTCTCGATTGACGCTGCGCTGTCGAAGCCCTTTTCAAAGTCAATGAAGTTGAGGTGGAGGTAGAGAGCTGACTGACTGATGGAAGCACTCTTTGGGGATTAATCACACACATCCTAGACTATGTATATAGTCAAAACAGTGGACTTCAAACTTCGCCTACCATAGACTGACTAATTGACCTGTTTAAATATGATTGGTCATTAGCATAGTATGTACTTTTGTTTTATATAACTGAGTAGCTGTTATGCATTTTATTTCATTTTATTATTATTGTGAACCAAACATGTTACTAGTTGCAAATGGATTGTTAAGTAACTAAGAAATGTAGATATCATCTCGTGAAATTTGCCTTTAAAATGACTTATTCAAATAACATATATAAAGAAATATTCGATTATATAGCTAAAGCCGAAAATGGATTCTCCGTAAAGAGACTTATAGCTGAAATATGTTTAAGAAGAACTACTTACCAGCTTTTTAGTTATCTGATGAAACAGATCGTTCATAAGTTTACAGTGATGTTTTGAATTTCTCATCATTGGGCTGGTTGCCGTCATGTATGCATCTAATTTGTTTGCGCCACATACACACAATCGCCTAGATTCCGTTGATGAATCTCTGACTGGTGGATACATTCGTGGAAAATAGTGTTGTTGTTGCTGTTTACTGTCACATCGTTCTCTGCTGTTACGACTCAACTGGTTATTCATTATCACAAAATTATTTGATGCCTTCACTTTTAGCGAATCAAGAATGCCTTGAAAACTTGAAATTGAAGATCTTGTATCATCTTTGGGTAGATTATTTTCCACAGAAGGTGTTTTGTTGATTTCATTCAAATCTGTAAATGCATCAACTTTATCAAGATTATTTGGAGTCAAATTATGCTGACTGTCTAAACCATTTTCTTTGAATTGTTTCATTAACCAGTTCATAAGATTTTCTTCATTATCACCATCAACATCAGCATCGTCATCGCTAACGGCGACAACAGGAGTCATATCACCGGTTTGGTTGTTTCCCTCCAATTGATTGTCAGTTATTACTGTTTTGTACAATGGAGGTAATAGATCTATGTCAGAACAGTAGCTTTCACGACAACGTGATGATCTGCTTCTGTTACTCGATGGTGTCCAGCCTCCAGAACTATGAACACTGTTTAATTCACGTACACTGAGCTCTTCAAGCATTGTCCGCAGTTGAGAACTGTTGTAAATGGGTGTGGATGTGTGTGCTCCAATAAAGCTTCTCTAGACTTAAAGAAAATAAATAAAAGTGTGTTGAGTGCGGTCTGCTAGCCAAAATTGTAGACAGCAATTTACGTCCCGAATCGGGGTCATGAGAAAAAAACAAAATAACAAAGCCTAACCTTGAGGAACTCACCAACCAATCACAGCAGATTTAAAGTGTGCAAATATGATTCGCAGATATATGGCTTAACTTTCTAAGAAACGGTCACAAAGCGATAACAGAATAACCTTCAGCAAGAAAAAAACCAATCAGAAGACGTTGCTTCCCCGCTGAAAATAATGTACATGAAAATCTATAAATATCTGTTGATTTTCTCAATAAGCTATCTGTTACCTGACCCTTGTCCTCTGTCATTACAGAAGTAGATAAAGAAATGTGATCAGCTCCTCGCTGGTATAAGTTTTGTTAAACAGAAAGAATAACGTAAATAATAAGAATAATGATGGACGTTCAATTAACATGACGTGAACAAGATGGAACTCTCATAGAAGATCCATCTACAGAAGGCCGATGTGGAATGGACAACTTACTAACTTTCATAGTTGGTTGCCCCTATATACAAAACGGAACCTGATCCGTTCACTGAGCCAGGGAATTCTCAGCATTTGAAGATTTGATACTATAGAAGAGGAGGTAAACATCCTGAAGAGAATCTTCCTAGAAAACGGCTACCCAGAATGTTTTATCATGAAATTTATGAAACGTAAACCACCGAAACTGCCGCCCACACTCTCTGCTCTCAAAAACTGTCTATACCTGAACCTATAATTCGATGGAGATTCATCGGCAGAAATACTGAGAACACGCCTGTCTCGCTCACTGAAGAAAACCTTCTTCTTCGCGGATGAACTCTGACTAACCTTCTCTACGAAACCAATGATTCGGACCAACGTGAAGGATAAGCTACCACTGTTTACCAGCCTCATCAATGTGCATCTACCAATTCACCTGTTCCTGTGGAGCTAGGTATGTCCGCCGTATCCAGCGTTCACTATCCAAACGTATCATCCAATATTTACCCTTAGTCATGGTTTTATAAAGGAGAAAAGAGGTCCTCCTCCCCCGAAGCTCTATTCTGGAACACCTCATCGAATCAGGACACCAAGCTAACCCATCCACAAAGTAACTTCAAAGTTGTCTACAGAATACACGGGAATCTAGCTAAAAGAGTACGAATCAAACTTCTGCAAACCCCGTAGAACCAATGCCAATTCAAATATTAGAACCTGAACTCTGGATACAAAGAAGTTTGTTCAGTGGACCGTACCTATCTTAACACCAAATATGTAACTTTTGTTTCGTCTTTTTTTTAATTGTTTGTTTCTTAACTGTATAATATTTTCTTTCCCCACCCCTTATTAAATCTCTACACCTTATTACCACTGTCGTTAACTAAACTTTTTTCAATTTTAATTTTAGATGAGCTCTACTCAACCCCGTCAATAATTAGATTACGTCACCAAACTTGCTTATTTAATCTTACTTTAGTTTCTAACGAATTAACGAAATTCGTTATCTAAAATTTATGATTCTAACGACGAATCTTCGAAATATTCATTTTGTTGCTAAGATAATTAACTATGCACATATATACGATTGTATACAGATTGACGAGAATGATATCGCCGACAAGGGGAGTAACTCTTCACTGGACCTGCTTTAATCCAAACAACATGGAATTCTCAGCATTTGTCACCATATATGTCATCTAATTTACTCAAAATATAAATGTCTTTTTGAAATATACTCAATATTTCACATACTTAAATTATTTAATTCGCCTTTTATTGAAATGATGTGAGTTAGAGGAGCGTTGAAAAACAACCACTGGGAAGTTGTGGAGAGAGAGAGCTGTTTCAGCAATACAAACCCACTAATGTTCTAGAACAGGACGTTTGGGTTACAAGCAAAGCTCATAGACAATTTGACCACTGGAACCCGATTCAATGACCAGTTCATAATTTCTAACACCTACCAAACTAGCTGAAGGAGCAGGCAACGAAGACAGGAGTGCAGGTGAATATACAGAAGGTTAAGACAGAGGTGATGAAGGTTGCCAACAAACCACAACAACAGCAAAAACAACCAGCACTAATCACCATCAACGGGAGAGATTTAATAGAGGTTATCTCCTTCACTTATCTAGCTAGGCAGCCAGCATCATTTCAACTACAGGCGGATGGCACGGTTGAAGATGTCAGAATCGGAAAGTCAAGCAAGATACGCACACCTTCATCAACCTGAAACCAGTTTGTAAATCTTTTGCACTGCACTTAGCCTCAGCATAAACAACAAGTCTGTAAGTTCTTCTATACGGGTCAGAAACTTAGCCGGCGTGTCACGAAAAGCATTTCCAACAGGTTGCAGACTTTCATCAACAGCTGTATTCGCTGGCTCCATACTGAAGATCAAATGGCCATACGGCCAGAAAGAATAAGTAACAAGAAACTTTGACTGCAAACAAACCAACAGACGAGAGCCAATGGCTCAACAAATATGATACGCCCTACCTGGTTGACCCTACTATGCATGACTTTTCAATAGAACTCCCTGCAGGCGATATCGTCCTGTCACCAGTCGTCACTATCTAGCGTTAGGTTAATTTCCCAGAGTCAGTTTGTTGGGATCCTATTCTGCATACGGATTCAGTAGTTGGATCTTCAAGTTTCACGATGGAATAAATAATATTTACAAAACTAAAATAATAGTAACCTGCTTTATTCCAAAAGCAGTATTAATGATACAGCAAGGAATTTTCAGCATTCAGTACAATATTGCATCTAATTTACTCAAAAACGACAACAACAAAAAATAAACGAAATAATTAATACATAATAATGATAACAAAACGTTTTTATAGCAGCTATGTAGCAATTACAGTATACGATAAGGAGAAAAATACGCATAAAGTATAAAATTATAGTAATAATAGTAATAACAACTAAAATAAAAATAGCAAAGTTATAATTAAACGATAGAAAGGGTGACACCATAGAATTACAGAAAGATGAACAATGAAAGGGTCGATTCACTATGCTAATTACATAGTAACTTATATGTTTCACGTCTAACAGAGTCTTCATCACATAAAATACGGGCAGTCAGACAACCACTGGAAAACCCCAGTGAGTGCTGGACAGCTGTTTCATTCTAGTTCGAAACTCATCAACATTAGGGTCTGCGAGCTTGCCTTGTAACTGGAAAGTCGTGTATTCGAACCCCGATGGGTGAGTACTGCCGATGAGTCCTAAAATTGGACAATAGAGACGGCTGTCTGGTAGTACTCCCTATGGCTAGTTTTCCAATGCTACAGAGAAATCAACAAGATATGAGACGACGACTAACAGAGATTCAAAGAGCAACTGATTCTTATCAGAGTACCGTCAATTTATAAAAATCGTGGAAATGAATCAGTCCACACAAGTCCTGTTCACACGTAGAACTAAAATCAACAGTATGACATTTACAAGGATTTAGTTTGAGACCATTGGTGAACCTCAGATAAGAATCTGTTCATATCAGAAAAATCCAGTGCAGAAACTACTCGGTCAGAAATAGTCAGATCATAGGCGACTGGCACTATTCAGGCAGGCAGTTACCTGGGGTTCTAGTAGGAAGCCGTGACCCTTAGGCTACAGCAGGTCGAAGTTGAGGACGGTGAACCATCGAAGACATTGCTAAGTGGTTCCGCTATGTCATGCGTGAATTGGCAGGAGTTAGAATTCATGAACTGGCTGGCTTGACATTGGATTCGGTCACAGTGAGTGGCTGATAAATAGTCTACGAGCTAGCTCACCTTGTAACCGGAAGGACCTCTGCACGAACCACCCGTGGTGGGTGCTTACTCCTTATATATATATATATCTGGCGAGGTCAAGACTGGAAAACTGTATACAGGTAGCCAGCCAGTCCTTATCTTAAAGGGGACTCACATATTCTAGAAAGTGTTCAAAGGAAAACAGTACGTACGATTCTCAGCATGACTAACTTATCGTATGAGGAAAGACTAGACAGTTTAAATCTCTTCTCCCTGTCACAGCGTAGTAGGCAGAGAGGAGATTTAATCACAGTGTTTAAAATTTTTAAAAATGATTACGTACCTCACCTATTCACTCTTTCCCTTCCCACCACGTGGTCGGAACACCTTAGACGACATAGCAGGAGAGTCCAGAAGCCAAGAAGAAATCATATTATACATGTCCCAACCAAGTTCACTTTTAGAAGTTTGAAAAATTTGGGCATTGGGTGTATGATATTCATTATTACAAAGGTTTTCTTTTATTTCCCAATGAATGAATAACTAAACGATACCGTTTTTACTGATGTTTCGCTATTTAATGTTAATAGCTTTATCAAAGTAATATTATTAAACCAGAATTTACAAAATCTCAGATTATATATACACATAACAACTTAATCATCGTTCATCAGCACGGGGTCATTTTTACGCTGTCATATTGGCCAATTGGCAAAGATAACAAAACCAGGTGTAGATTGTTGGATTTTATAAGTGTATAAAATTATAAAAGCAGCGTGTGTTTACATAATGAAATTGCTTATCACATTCGTATTGGTTTTGTCATTTCATGAGAGAAACCGGAGGTGTGTGTTGTAACCAGGTCAAGTTCTGTTTTACTCCATCATCCATATTTAGTTCAGACAATTTGCACTCCATTTGATGTGGAGTGCTGATGATGATATCAGACGTTCTTTGTGATTTCTGAAACTATTTCTGGATAATGATTTCAATATTGTCAAAATTAATTTTGTGACCTGTTTGATTCTATAGTGTAGCGTAGCGTGTAGGCGACCTATGGCTGATGAATTTTCAAACCTTTCTAGCTCAACTGGATTTACTTCTCGGTGGTCGAACAGATGTGGCTTTATGGTGTTCATTTCTTCTGATAACCTTGATTTCTCTCTAGCGATGTTTCTCAGATGTATATCGCATCACATTCCGAGCATTTTATTTTGTAGACACAATTAAAGTGGGAATCCTTAGGG